TACTACGACGACACACACACACACACACACACACACACACACACACACACACACACACACACACACACCTGTAGAGGGGTGCTGTGAGTGTGCTGAGCCCACAGCGTACGCGTTTGAGGTCGTTGTGGTCTGTGTGATACCGCACAAACTCTCTGTACGCCGTCCGCCGCTCATCGTCTGTGCCAAAGCGATTGGCATTGGCCAGCTGTGTGTCCAGGTCACTCTGTGTCGCCACCACTTGCGTGCGTGTATTGAGCATCAAGGGTGCGCTGTAAGCAGTCGATGAGGGTGACATAAAAAAGAACGAAAGGTCAAGTAAGGTACGGACGTTTGCCAACAAACACAACATAGTCAGTAGGGCGTGTGGTGCAGCTGGAGCAGACGTGGGGGAATGGGCGTAGCCTTTTCATAATCTTGTAGGGCCTTTTAGAGGGCCGTGGCGTGTGCGTGAACCACAGCTTGTTGAACAGAGTGCGCATGTGTACGCATGAGGTACATTGCAAAGTGGACTATTCCCGAATAGACCTTGGCAGGCGAAGATTAGACATATACCACGTTGTCTAATAATATGTATAGGAGCGTTGAGCAATAACGTACAACTGTGCAAAAGAACTATAGGGTGGGGGTATCAGACGAGGCGGACATGCTGGGCGGCTGGGGCAATATATTCTGGACTAATATCGAGTCGACGCGCGAGTCGAAGTCGCCTACTCAGAAAATACTATGTGACATCTACTTCGAAACGCCATACACATAAATACGCATATGCACACATAAATACATAAAAACGCATATGCACAAATAAATACGTATATGCACACAGAAATACGCATATGAACACAGAAATACGCTTATGCACACATAAAAAATACGCATAGATAAACATAAATACGCATATGCACACATAAATACGCATATGCACAAACAAATACGCATATGCACACAGAAATACGCACATGCACACAGAAATACGCATATGCACAAATAAATACGCATATGCACACAG